ATCACAGCTTGAACTATCTTGTTTTGCATGTAATGAGTCTGTCTCATATATTAGTTTCACCTTTTAAGTTGCATTACTGAAATAAATGAACTTTTTCACAATATTCTAATTTTTCGAGTTTCACCTGTATCTCTCTAGGGGATGGGACCTGCAACATTCCTTCCCTCCCTGCTCTGGTGGGTTGAATATACTGTATGTGACCGGCAAGAGATGATCCCTCAGATAACCTGGTCCCAAGACATGAAGGGAACCAGCACCTTGAATTGCACCCAGAAGCAAATCAGCAACCAATGCAGCTCCCACAGGAGAGGTGACACATGTGCACACCGAGGTCTGCACAAAACCATGTGGCCGCTGCATTTTGCACCAACTGGATGCTCTTCAAGGGCAGCTCCATTTAGAGCATGTTGCAATAGTCAAGACGGGAAGTGACTAGGGCATGAGTGACCATGAGTAGCGATTGTTGGTCCAGGAAAGCTGGCGCACAACCCACAGTATTCCTAAATTTATGTTTTTAAAATTAGTTTTTACATATCAAAACAGCTAAAGCTTAGTGTCCCACATCCCTGACAGTCACCATATCCATTATGGTGGAGGGAGAAATACAATGTTCCTTTTGAATAATCTTACTTCCTTTTCAAATCTCTCCTAAGGATCTTTCTTTTTTGTTACCTTCTGTTTTCAACTGCCCTGACTGAATCTTCTAATTATCAGCAATTGTCCAAACTCATCTCAGGAAAGAAAACCATATAGCTAGTTAAATAATTTATTGATAATATTTATTTATGTTTATACAGACACTTTTCATCTGATCTTCCTTATAACCAGAATTCCATTTTGACAGTTTTTATGCTGTTTAGAGCTATATAATTAGGATAAAAGGCAGGATGCTATCCTGATACTCATGCTCTAAATAGGAGTAGTATAAGTTACTATATATCCTCCCTTTAAGTCCTATGGAGGAACTCCATGTTTGTAAATGTTTCATACAACTCATATAGCTTAAGTACAGGTAAACTTTGGATCCAGTTGGTATATTTAGTAATGAGATTCTGTATTCTGTACATTTTCATACAATGGACTCCAGGTTTTGTATGGATATGGTCACTTTACATTCTTGTATCAAAAATGAAACTGGAAAAAAGGAAACCCTCTTCCCCAAGATGTCCTTTATTTGACTTTTTTGGCTTTCATTTGGCAAGATGGACACATTTCCAAACAAAGTGCAGGGTTGTATCCCTCATCCAGTTTCATTTTCTAAACATGTCTGTAGGTGTTATGTTTCTGACCCCTTTGAAAAGAAAAAAATCTGCTGGAAAACTATTGCCATTGATCAGTTTTGTCTTGCGTACACTCAGTTATATTATTCCTTTATTTGACAATGTTCCTTGCATAACAAAATCATCTTTCCTGCCCAGGATGGTCCAGATGCTGAACGAAGGAATCGGACAAAACAGGAAAGTGCATGGATCTTCAGGCTTTGGTACAGCTTTGACCACAAGTATCCTTTCCAGACTCTTAATAGACAAAAGTCTATGCAATACAAGAAGCCATTGTAAAACTGCCAATCCTTGTCTGGTCTGAGCAGGCCATGTAAAAACAACTGCTAAATGAAGTTTCTATTATGCTCCAGAACAGAAATGAAGTAGCCAAGTGAATCACTCTTATTGTGAGCAAAAACCAATATGGCCTATCCCTCCAAGAGGTACAAGACAGAATATGTGAAGAATTCCTATTAGAGCAGCTCAGCTACAAGAAAACATTATGAACATGTTATTCTACATCTTCCAGATTCATTTCAGAAAGTTGGTCCAGACCATGAGATGGTTGTTGACTGCACTTGAGTACATCACTGCTGAATTTAACTGTTACACTCAAGATGCCTATATTAATCTTGAAACTAACATTTGGAATTTGGTTTATAAATAGTTTTCACAGATGGTTCCTCTACTAGTTTCACGGCTTGTTTTTACACTGGAGTTAGTTAATGTGCTCTGAAGGCTTCTTTATTTAATCAGCGATATGGTCTGACTGATGGTTGATTACCTTTTGTCCCGTTAATTCTTCATTTTCCTTTTTTCCTTATGATGCCTGATACCTGGTGGCTAGCTCTATTCATAATTCATAGTTCAGTAGAAGAATGGGCTGAAATTACTGTATCTATTAATAGCGGGATGTGGTGTATCTATTAATTAAGGTGGCTCAAAGGGACACAGTGGCTCAGTAGCTAAGACGCTGAGCTTGTCGATCAGAAAGGTTGGCAGTTCGGCGGTCCGAATCCCTAGCACAGTGTAACAGAGTGAGCTCCCGTTATTTGTCCCAGCTTCTGCCAATCTAGCAGTTCGAAAGCATGTAAAAATGCAAGTAGAAAAATAGGGACTACCTTTGGTGGAAAAGAACAGCATTCCGTGTGCCTTCGGAGTTCAATCATGCCGGCCACATGACCCTGGAGACGTCTTTGGACAGCGCTGGCTCTTCGGCTTTGAAATGGAGATGAGCACCATCCCCTAGAGCCGGGAATGACTAGCACATACCCTATTGTTCAGAGTATAATACGCACCAGAGTATAAGACACACCAAGGTTTTGAAGAAGCAAATTTTAAAAAAAGTTTTTGTATTCTGCAAACCTCCCCAAAACGGCCTGTTTTTTGCAAAAATGGGCCCGATTTTTTCAAAAAAAAAGGGGGGGCATGAATAGCCTTTATGAGGCTTGTAGAGTGCTCCTGTGGGACGCCCCCCCCAAAAATGAGCCAATTTTTTGTGAAAATTGGCCCCCTTTGTGTCAAAAAAGGGCATGGATAGTCTTTAGGAGGCTTATAGAGTTCTCCTGGGGGGCTGGGGGGACAAAATTGAACAAAAAATGGTCCATTTTTTGCTCATTTCTGCCCTCCCCAGCCCCCAGGAGAACTCTGAAAGCCTCCTAAAAACTATGCACGCCATTTTGGTGAAGGGGCGGGGTACTGGGAGGTAAAAAATGCTGTATTCAGGGTATAAGACGCACCCAGATTTTCAGCCTCTTTTTTGAGGGAAAAATATGACTTATACTCCGAAAAATATGGTATGTGTTACCTTTACCTTATTAATGATAGTTTGAACAATTTGAACAATTTGCACATGGTTGCTTGGTAGGTGTATTGTCCTTAATAAAATGTGGCAGATACCTCAAGCCCATTTTGACCCACAGTGGTCCACCTCTCACAACAACTCTTCCAGGTTGGTGTGGATTGATAGCTCGTTGTTTAACTAGTCCCCAGGTTTATGAGGTAAGTGCATTTTGTTGCCTACCAAATTCTTAAGCAGCATGAGATTGAGGTGGTGGTGGGTGGGGAGAAGGGAACTGAATGAGAAGAAGGGTAAATATTCCAGGAAATCACGATGCAATTTTAATACATTTTAATAAAGTTTGCTTGCACATCTGGACAGAAATGGGGTGTATCAACCTTTTGAGGTGAGGTGGAAAAACAGACAAGGTAAGGATTCCAAGATCTTTATTGTTGTAAAGTAGATGAACAAATTTTGAAAGCCTATCAAAATTTGTCTCTCCCTAATTTATACCAAACAAAATCAACGTGAGGTTGTTTTGAGGTTTTCTCTCTCTCTCTTTCCTCTTTCTCAGGACTGACTCATATTTTCAGAAACTCTCCCCCCTCCCTTAACAATTCACACATTCCTTTCCCACTTCCGAGGCCTGGTCTATATTTCTTTCACACTGTCCTCTCATCAGAATCATGCATCCATTTTGCCCTAGCTGCAAATGTATCTGCTTTGATGTAGAATAGGACAGGACTTTCCAACCTTGGCAAGTTAAAGACTTGTGGACTTCAACTCCCAGAATTCTTATTAGTGAAGCAAATGTTATTAGTGTTATTAGAATGTTATTAGTGAAGCAAATAGAGCCAGATACTTCTCAAGTGAATTTAGGAGATCTTATCTGCAAGAATGCAAGGAATCGGAGAGGCCAGCATCAGGTTATTTTTGGAACATTTTCAAGTCTCCAGGGATCCAGATGGATTGTTTTTCTCTCTGCCTCCAAAGAATGTTTTGGATTACTGGGACTCCATGTTAAATTTTTAACATGGTTTTTCTATTTAATATTGAATATGGAAATTAAGTGAAGAATTTAGTCTACATGTATAAAAGAAAAAGAAAAAAAGTCACTACGATTACACTGTTTCTGAAAAAAATCTGTAAATTAATCTAAAACAAAATACTTTTAGAAAGCAGAAACTTAATAAAGAATGCAATTTTAGGTTTCCTCTTCATATAAGCACATTGGGAAGAAATAAGGAGAACAAATGTGCTTTACTTCTGGGGAAAACAAGGAAAGAATCTTTAGAGAATAATACAATGCTTTTTTATTCTTTTTTTAATGGGAGAGTTAGCCATTTAGAGCATTAACTAAGACATCCTTGAAAATATTTATCCTTTCCTTTGTCTCATACAATATTGTAGAAAGCAAGGTGCTTGGTTTTCATTTTTGGCCTGTAGCTACCCTTGGAGTATGCTATGTTAAGACAGGTGCATATGACAAAATTAAATGACTTAATTTAATTTAATATGGTTACAGTACAGGTAGTCCTCGATTCATGACCACAATTGAACCCCAAATGTATGTTGCTAAGTGAGAAATTTTTAAAGTCCGTTTTGGCCCATTTTACAACTTTTCTTGCCAGATTTGTTAAGTGAATCGCCACAGTTGTTAAATCAGTAACTCGTTTGTTAAGTGAATATGGCTTCCCCATTGACTTTGCTTGTCAGAAGGTCACAAAAGGGGAACAATGACCTGAGATCCTCATAAATGTGAATCAGTGGTTGAGCATCTGTATGTAAATACGTGACCATGGGGATGCTGCAATGGTCATAAGGGTGAAAAATGGTCATGAGTCACTTTTTTCAGGCTCATTGTAACTTTGAACAGTCGCTAAGCCAACTGTTGTAAGTTGAGGACTGCCGTAACACTGTTGACACTGTTAATTGGTTCTGGGAGGTGCAATGAGAAGCAAAAACGAGAGTACCAAACACATTTCTCCATAAGGAGTAACATAATCAGTCACAAGGTAGCCAACACTCACAAGTTCAAGCTTGTGCGTTGCGTACCAAACAAACAATGAGTCCATTTTTAAATGCTTATTTTATTTGATTGCAATAGGTAATTGAAGTGGCATCTAACTAATCAATCAGTGAATCATCTATCAGCAAGTGTCCTGTCTCAGGCCATGCATTCACAAATACATAGGGAGGTTTGCAAATTTACTGTGAAGTTTCCAAGCAAATAAAACAAGCAGCCAAAGGAAATGTACATGCAAACACCCCCTCCCCCACACAAATCAAATCAAGTCCCTTAAAGGCCAGCAAGTTTCTAAATGCAAAACAGCAGGCACAAGAGTGGGCAGAAGTCCAAGAACCCAATGTCATAACAGAGTCATCCGCCAGTCCAGATCCAGAATCACGGTGAGGATATTTTGAGTCAAGGGACAAGGCACACAAAATCTAGATCAACAAATGGAGGGTCTTGAGTTTCTGGACTTCTTAAATAGAAGCAACGTCGGTGTTGCTCAGGTGGAAGAACAAAGTTCCTTTCTGGCAAGGAGCCTTGCAGAGTGCCTTTGCTCTGCTCTGTTCTCTGGAGTGCTTGCACTGGGTGGGGTGACAACTCAGAGTCCTCATCTTCTAAGATTGGTTGCAGCTGTGTCTCCTCCAGTAGCATAGTTTCGGCGGCCTGCAATTTCTCAGGCAGCAATTTGTCGGACAGCTCAAGAACTTGAGTGTTTATTGTTGGTTTCGTCATCAGAGTCTGAGGTGCCCAGGCAGCAACCTCTTTTGTATTCCATTTAAGGAGCTCCACACAAAATGTAGAATGCACTAGTTTAGATACACTAATTTAGGAGATATTTCTGATTGCCTCCCTCCAATGACAATTTTCATAAATTCTCTGCTGTTGTAAACCCAACAAGGTAGACCAGACTAAGAAATGAATGTCATGTAGGACAAGGCTCCTTTTATATCAGAGTCTTGCAAATTGTAATCTGCTTCCCCCAACGCATACTTTAATTCCATGTAAATCAGGGATTCACTCAGATGTTTTCTCAACTCCTTTTCTTGGCCTTGCCTCAAGTCCTACTTATCTAACTACTGTCTTGATACTGTCATTTCTTCCTGTCGCCCAGGGTGATTTCCTAGCTATTTTCATACCAACCTCTTTTTTTATTTAATAAAAGCCTCCTACAGTGACATATGAATATACATTTCCAAACAGATTTTTCCAGAAAAACTGGTTTTTCTCCAAAAGAATTTTTTTCTCCAAACACACAGCTGGAAACGTCATTTATCCTGTGATTTCATTTATTATCTAAATCATGATGGTCAAAACAGATCAGTACAAATCAGATTAGTTTGCTGAAATGAGGCTGAACAGATTATTGAAGTATTCATATGGTATCCTCTATCATGCAGTAGAGGACAAATATAGATCACCTGTTGGTGAACATACCTCTTGTACAAAATATGCACATGAAAATACCTGATTCATAGTACTTTGCAAAATAAGTACAGGTAGTCCTCGATTTATGACCATTCATTTAACAACAGTTTGAAATTATGGTGGTGTTGGAAAAAGTTACTTATGACCTGTCCTTGAAGTTACAACCATTGCACCATCCCTACTCTCAGTTGATCGCTATTTGGGTGCTTGGCAACTGGTTCACATTTATGATAGTTGTAGCCTTTTGCAGTCCTATAATCATGATTTGTGACCTTCCCAGATGGCTTTTGACAAACAAAGTTAGTTTGGAAAGCCAGATTTGGTTAGACCATAATGATTTGCTTATTGACCATGGCAAAAATGGTCATTAAATTGAGTCTGATCATGTGATGATTCATTTTACAACTGCATCAATTGTGGTTGTAAGTTGAGGACAACTGGTAGAGGTTCACTGTAGATGGAAAATTAAACAAAAAGGGATGTTTATAAGATATGAAGCTACGATATCTACGTAACTTATGTCATATCTTAGCTGCTAAAAATGAAAAAAGGATAACTATTAGATGGCAGAAAAGAATTGGGATCTCTGATCTCTTTGCTGACATCTAGAGGTCACCTGGATTTTTGTAGCCCAGATAGCACAACAGACCATATTGTTGGATTGGACTCTGGTAATAGTTTTATTGAAAGGCTACCTTTCAATGCCATTTAGAACAAAATAAAAATCAATAAAAACAAAAACAAATGCCCAAAGGAAAATTTCTTTCAATACCTCTAGTAGGCTGTGAGAAATAAGAAGTTCACATGATAGTAATCAGACAAGAGAAATAAAGTCCAAAGCTGGAATGACATTTGTGAATGTCTTGCTAACTTCCTCTAGTTTTTTTTAGCTAAAAGCAGGGAAGGAATAGGTGCATTCAATCTTTCAAGAATCTTGCTCCAGTCTTTTAATAAAAATAGCATTGATTTTTCTGATATGGACTATTTCTAAGAGCTGACAATATTGCCAATACATCTCTGTTTGGTAGAGGGGGAGGGAATAGATGGAACTGTTAAACAAGTATACGCCAAAGCTACTCCCAAAACATAGCCTCTTCCATATGAGGGATGTAGCTGCACCAAGTTTCTGACCATTCCATTAACATGCAATGGATGTTTCTTCTGTTTTCCTTAAAAACCTTCTTGAACACATTTCAGAACCAAGAACAGCTTAGAGACGAAGATTCTGATTTTATCTTGAATGACAGTGACTTGACACTGACCTACGGAGACACAACAATAACTGCTAATGGCTCCTCTAGTTCCCATGGTGCTGTTATCAACCTGGATGGCAGGAAGGCAAAGAGTAGCTCTGAAGAAGCCTTGGAAAGTGATCTGGGAACAGAAGCACCTGAGGTGATGAGCAGAGGAACTCGGCTCGTGTTTCCGATGGATGCATGAAGACTGCTTGGCATATGGAGCAGTAAAGGATAGGTCCAGTGCCCCCAAATCCACACTATCTGCAGGCCAGTTGTAAGTGGAGACACTTATCGAGTAAATTAATGTCCCTTGTACAATGTAAGTTTTTTTAAAGTCTCAAGATCTCAAGATGTCCTTGCCACCACCCCCCCACTCCTGTGTCTTTCTAAAAAAAAACCAAAAAAATGAGATGCTGAGAATTTCTAAAATGGAAAATGTCTAAGGTTGTCATATTAAGGGAAAAACACAACCTTGAAATGAAAAGCTAAATGTCATAGTTCCTCTAATTCTATGCACTGTGGGGATATTAACCGTCCCGGCGGCTAAAATATTTCTGACCCACGGAAGGCCTTTTCATCAGAAGTCTTTGGTCACTTTTGTCAGGGACAAAAGATGCAGTGTTGACTTATACTCGAGAAAAAAGTAGTTGGAAAAAAGGATGAAATTTCCATATGAACATTTTCCTGGACTTGTTGGGAAAAAAAAGGAAGAAAAAAGTCCCTTCTCATTTCAAGAACATTTGTATTAGTAAAGTTTGACATTAAATTATTCTGTATCTGACAAGGAAAGGAGAAATATAAATATATATATATATATATATATATATTTGGACAACTTTTTGAGACTTTCAGTGTGAGTCCTGTGGTTGCATCACAAGCTGAGCTGTTGCTGTCTAAAATACATGTTTTTTGCATTGTGCCCTTAATATTCTCCAGTAGACATCTGTAGACAGTAACACTCTTCTATTACAAATGTGAAGAATATTGAATGGGTCTAGTGAAGTTACAAACTGCTGTACAATTGCCCAAGAAGTATTGATAGAATCTGTCTCAGGCTATTGTAATCTTTCCCAGGCCGATGTCTTCCAGATGTGTTAAACTACCGTTATTAACATCCCCAATCAGCATGGCCAAGCTAGAGATCATCGGATAAAAGCCATTTATTTGGACTTAAGCAGTGTATCTTTTGTTTAACAGGAGAAGACTACTGTAAACTGTACCTGTTTCTCTGATGTTTGCATCAGAACAAAAGGTGTAATCGTAATCAGTTAGAAAGACAGTGTTGGTGTGTTTGTTAGTGGCATATGGCACTATGATCCTGATGTTTAAAAATGGTACAGTGCCTTTTATGTAATAAAGAGTATCATGTTGTGACCGAAATAGGGAGACCTTGTCTAAGGCAATGTTTCTCAACCTTGGCAACTTTAAAATGTGTGGATTTCAACTCCTAGAATTTCCAAGGAATTAATATTGCCAAGGTAATATTAATATTACCAAGGTTGAGAAATGCTGGCCTAAGATACAGCAGTGCTCATTTGCAAATAAGGCATATGCAATTCTAATTATAAAAGAGCATCTGCTTTCCATGGTGTAATTTGGCAACTCTCTACAGCTTTCTTTGTCAGGAGGTTAGCTGTTAAAAAGCAAGTTTAATAATACTGTAGCGTAATAATTCAACTCTTGGGCACTATTTTAATGGGCTGCCCTATAATTTAAAAATGCTTAGGAAAATAAAATATGCTCTGGCGTTCTTGTTTTTTCTTTCTGAGTACATTTTTAATTGCTGTTTCATTTTTAGTCTGTTTGTGAAATGAAAACTACATTTGAACCTACCTATGTAATAAAGTCTGTTACTTTACCATGACTCTTATGGTGTCACTGATCAATATTTAACTAAGAAGATTCAACTTTTCAAAAAGTAATGTTACTTTAAATTATCCTTTTCTATAGAGTATGTATAACTGGATTAGTTGTGGAGAAATAAGACACATCAACTGAGTAATAATGTAGAGATTAAATGATTCTCATTTCCCAATTCATTTCACATGTCTGATCCTATGAATTATCAGCCCTCCAAGGTAAACCAGACAGGAAACAAGATTAGATGAACTAATTGTACTAATTAATTAGTAGAACAGGTTCATGTGCCATACTAGCCCTCTTTTTTGAAGGAAGTAGTTGTAAGTTATATAGCAAGAGAGTGAAGGGTACCAAGCTCACAAAATGTAAATGGGAATCTACACTGATTAATAATCTTTACTATTTGCATTTTCTAACTAGAATTAAGAATGTATAATGGAATATGAGAATGACCTTGGGAGAAAGAAGGAAGAGCTACAGCCTAGACAACCATCATGTGAAAGATATCTCAGCACTCAGAAAGAAAGAAAGTATTTAAGAAGAGACCCTCCCTGTTTTTCTGGAAAGTAAAAGTAAGGATAGGGAGAAGTGTTTTTAAACTTGTAAACTTCTGTTAATGTAACCTTACAATAAAGTAGTCTTAGTACTCAGGATTTGTGTTTCTTGTCTGGACTGCCTCAAAGGACTAAGAACAGAGGTGCTGGAATATAGTTAGGATAAAGATTGCTTTGACTTCCAGTGGAGGCACAGCAAGTTACACACGTCTCCATGGGGAATGGAGATGACCACAGCAAAGAACCAATGTTTCCTTAGAATCTGACTGGACAACAAGTTGATAGAAGATCTTCCACGTGTACTTGGGATGGCTGCTCCACATAAGGAGACGGCAGGACATTGGCCTCCTGTGGGTGTGAGTACTGGGAGATAAAGAGATTAATGCTACAACTGTGGCAGGGCCTTTTAATGGCTACAAAGTTTGTTAATCTTCTAATCATTTTTGCAAATGACTTATCTAACCATCAAAAAGCTATTAGAGATTTTCAAAATGACAAGCTTGAAAACCTACCTAGTGAATGTATTTTCATTTCTGAATAAAAGAAAAAATATCTATAAATGTAAGAATTTTAAGTTGAACATTTTCTTGGTTCAAAATCTTAAAGCTAAATAAGATTTTGAACCAAGAAAATTATAAACAATTAATGGTCCAGATAAGCATAGAATATTGAAACTTTTACAACTGAATTATGGGAGTGAATAGCTTTTTCTGAAAACCAAAAGTACTTTGTCTACTGTAATCATAAAACAAATTGAAAAGTTTATAATTTAAATTGAACACTAAAGGGGATTAGAGATTCCAGGTAAAAAGAACAAAATAACTGCCTTTGCTTTTAATTGGGATCTGTAAAATAACACAAAACATAACATTTGAAATATTAAAGGTCTTTGAAGATGAGGCCAGAAATTAGTAGCCACAAGCAATGACAGATGTGAAACAAATATGAAAGTAGTGGAATCCAAGACATTGGATTAACAAAAACTGGATTATAAGCATGAATTTATGATGGTTGCAGCATCGCAGGGTCACATTATCATCATTTGCAACTTTCCCAATGGCTTCTAAGAAGAAAATTCAGTGGTAGAAGCTGGATTCACTCAACGACCTATGAAGATTTGCTTAACAACTGTGGCAAAAATGTTTAAAAAATTAGATGCAACTCATTTAACGACCACAATGCTTACTGATGGAAGTTCCTGTCTCAACTGTGATTGTAAATTGAGGATTACCTGTATAGCAATTATAAGTCCTATCTAGATATGTCAATGAAAGTAGAACCAGCCTCTAAAACAACAATCCATCAAAGTCTTCTAGCTATTCTGTTATGGTAATTTTATAGAAACTTTATCTATAATGCCCCACTTGATGCTAGTGCCAACAACATGAAGCAGAAAATGTCAGATATCACATCCTGGACCTTTTCATTTGAGTTAACCTTTTGGGCTAAACTGAGATGGACAAGTGGCCAGTACTATCTGGAAATCATATACTGGAAACAAGGCAAAATAAAATGTGCAATGACTACTTAATACCAGAGAGCAGGCTGAAAATATTTGGTGTGCCAATCAGCTGTATAGTAGCAAGCCAAGCAGTGGCAAGCTTGAAACTAGTGGTCATGGTAGTGAGCCCTGGAGGAGTTGAAAATGCTTGCTAGCATTTTTTGGGATAGAAGCAGCAAATTTATTGACTTTTCAAACAATGCTCACAGGCCACATGCATTCTCTATTCAGAGAACTTTTTAGTCACCTTCCACTTAGGAGGAAGGGGAGTTCTCAGCACAATTTTGTAGCTTTACACTATTTTCTTCTCAATCTATTAAGTTCCTTTCTACTAGAATTGATTACACGGAGTCTCATTTAGCAACCACAATTGGGACCAGTAGCACATTAAGTGAGGCAATTGCTAAGTGAAACCACAACTGTCTTTATGATCTTACTTTGTTTTATATTTGATTAATTTGGTGCTGGTTGAGCACTTAAGAAACAAATCTTGCTCTACATACATCTTATAAACAAATTTTGGTCCCTAGTGCCATAATTAAAAATAGTCTGTCCTATAATAAATTTTACATGAACTTGTTTCTTCATAAGTACAGTTGTGTATCAAATGTAATATAATATTGGCTGTACCTTAAACTTTGTTTATGAACTTTGTCTCAACTTTCTTACAAGAACATAAAAGGACAATCTAATAGAGATAACCATGAAAAGGCCAGCTAGGAAAACTTCCTCTTCGTAGCCTAAAATATCAAATATCATAGAATGAATTTAGGCATTAAGTCAATGCTGCACTACACTCAGTCATCATTGCTGAAGCTACAGTTAGGTTCACAGATTCTATTATGTATAAACCAAGCAAATATTATTATGGTTCAACATACAACCTGTGAGCACAGCCATCAAATATGACCTAATTCTCTAAAAAGATTTCAGTGTCATCCCTGTCTACCACACCTCTATATTCTGCTCTTGCAGAAGGGCTGGGTCATGTATTGCTTTGGTTGGATTTGACTTAATTATGATATGGAAAACTACCAATTAGAAATACGTAGCTTAACTTTAAACATTAAAACTTTCAATTTTAGGCTGTGTTAAAGCAACACACAAAGGATAAGCCATAATTTACAGACTGCAGTGCCTAAGGCAAAACTACAGAAAGCATATTGTTTTTATTATCTCATGAAACAGGAACATCATAATATAGTTTGTTTTGGCTTAGGTTTGAATATAGCCGTTTGGTTTGCAATATAACATTTGTTTATCACATGATGTCTACTCACAATTTTCATCATATTATGCGAAGGCAGTATTAGATTTGAAGTTGATTTTCTTAGTCAAGATGAACTCCCTTTCTGGTTACAAAGGTCATTTTTGGTCTCAAGTGTGTCAGTTTAACCCCTTGTCCCAATTTCTATAGTAATAATAATACTCATCACAATAAAAATCAGACCATATTTTAATTTATTGAACCAATGGCCATTTTCAGACTTTAAAAAAATAGTTGAAATTAAATTCAATACAGAGTGCATTTTCTTGTATTATATGATCAACTTCATTTAAAACAATAAAAAGGCACATCTGCTTTTTCAAGTCATCATCATAGTAACAGCAATAGTGTAATCTTGTTGATGGTAAACTCTTAAGGATAGAATCAAATGAGAGAAGAAATGGTAAGGGAGGGCTTTAAAAACAGCTAGAAGATACTATTTATCTTATACCTTCTGTAGTCAGGATTCTTCCTTGCTATTAGTCTGAGTGATGCACTAACTAGGGCTGCTTTGAGGGCTTTCTATGGGCTTTTGTGGATGCATGCAGAGAAGGTCCTTCTGTCAATACTTTTGAAGTGAAGTGGTCCATCTCAGGCACTGAGGCAGAAGTACCTTGACTGTGCCTTAAAACAAATTGTTCTTTCAATTTAGTTTGATTATAGCTTCATAAGATAGCACCATTTTGCTCAACTCTAGAGTTGAGGCCTTATGTTTATGAAAGAGGGTACAAAGATTTTGATATGACTATTCTACTAAAATCTATATGTTGGGACAATTTCCAAACCTCTAGGTAAATTGGCTTTTCCCCTGTGAGATCAAAAATGAGTCAGACTTGTCTTTCTACTCCTCCACACCAATATCTCTTTTTGATACTGGAAGTTCCTGTTCATTGTATTAGCTCAAAAGGGGACAGATGCAGAGACAGAAGAATGTTTAGATACAAAAGATACAAGGTTCATTCATCCCTAAGCCACACTCCTGAATTGGGGGAAAAATACTTATATAAATATGTTGCCTGCTGTTATTTTGTATGAGTATGCATTTGTTTAAGAAGGAAAATCAGAAAAGAAAAACGACATTTTTAAGAGGAAAATGTGGGAGGAGTAATCAACAGATCTTTAAGATTTCCACTTCTGTTGTTGACAAGTCTTTGGGTAGGTTGAAAAGGTCAAAGTCATAGTTGGATTGCCTTGCCTGAGATTCTAAATTGCACTCGTCTTTTTACTTGGTATGGTAGGTGATTTGAATGTCAATAAAAACAAGTAACACATTCGTTGACTGAAGATAAACACTTCAAAACCTAGAGGGGCACAGATATTGCACTGTGACAAATGTAATATTTAAAGGGGTTTTTTTTCTTCATAATAAAAACAATTTCATTAAAGCTTCCCAGTATTCATTCTGCCATGCAGAATTTACAGTAAAAATTGCAGTTCGTTGATGGTTCCAGTGTCTTTAGAAAGCAGAGCTCCATCCAAAGATTTTCTGTCATAAGTGAGCAACCGGTCCGTTAGCCTGTGGTGATGAGAAAAATCCACAATTTAGATTAGGAATTCTCCAGTTAAGGTCTTCAATTTACCTTGCACACATAGGTAAGAAGATAGCATTTTACTCTTAATCAGCCTGTGTTGCTTTTTTTTTAATTAGGTGGTAACATACCTCAATAAACAAATTATATCATTTGCCAATAAACAAGCTAAATCCCTCACCACTCATCCCCAGCATTATAGGGAGAATTAATAAATTGCTAGCATTTTGTAATATTTTAAGTCTGTATGATTTTAAGTTTTTCAGTTGATGAAATTGTTAAGGCATCAGGCTAAAAACTATGAACACATGAGTCTTGCCTTAGGCACAAAGCCAGCTGGGTGACTTTGGCCAGTCACTTTCTCTCAGATTGAGAACATAGAGTATGGCAAGCCACTTCCGAAAAACCTTGCCAAGGAAACTTCAGGGACTTGTTGAGGAAGACTTCAAGAATCAGACACAATTGACCAGAAGGATAAAATAGTCACTTCATGATTCTGAACTAGACCTAAGATGAACTACGGTAGGTGTGACTGCATCTTATGTTTCAGTAACTATAGCAGAAACTATTAGTCACATTGATTGCAAGCTCTGTAATATGCAGGCATGCAGTTCCATAATCCTTCCATAAAGCATTGTATGTTCATTTCATTTTAGTTCTCTCATTTCAGAGAACTAGACTAATTTTCCTCAGAAGTAATGCCAATGAGGGCTGCCCATTGGGGGACTATATTAAGTCTTTCTAATAAAAAGGCATGGAGAAGGAATAGTGATGCATTGGGAGAGACTGAGTGAGGAAGTTTTTTTAAAAAAAATAATTGATCTTGTGCCAAGTACATTGGGAAAAACAGAGAAAAGAACATGGGCTGCAAATAACTGGGGAAGAGATGTAGGTGATAAAGGCACGCTAAGATATTCTGGTCCAGATATCTGATGGTGCTTGGGTAAATTATCACGGCATCTATCATTATATTGAAATATTGGATGACATAGATGTATGGCATATGTGGCTGATAACCTCTGACCCACTTCTGGCATCCTGGCTTAGCAGGGAACAATGATGAGGTTAGATAGAGGGTTATAGCATAAGTTGAGATAACAAAGAACACACTACTCGGGCCTATTTTAAAATGCAGGTGAATCTAAAGAATGTCTACAAATTTCAGTTGGCATAAATGCTGCAACCAGGTTTCCAACTGGTGTGGATTATAGGGATCACATTATAACCATGCAGAAAAACTTTCATTGGCTGTCAATTGCATATAACGTATCTTTTTCACTAAATGTTTAATTCTTTTAATTTTACTTATTCAATGTCAAGTTTTAAATCTTGTGCTTTTTGTTTTAAAAGTTGTATGCTCTTATAACCATTGCTTATATAAACTGAAGCAGAAATTACATTTAAAAAAATGCATTGCCTATCGTGTGGTTACTTAAAAAAACAACTAAATTGCTGGATGAGCTCATAGCACCAACTGATTCACAAAGTAGCCAATTGCAATTTAGTCTAATATGTTTTGCAAATCCAGCCAGTGTAGGCTAATTTGAGATTTAATGTACTATCCAAGATTTCTTTGGCAGAAATATTGTTTTTAAGAAAAACTCTGCAGTGGAGAACCTGAGGCTAAGGGAGTTTGAAAAAATAAAGTTATAAAAGTGAACAGTTACAGGGACACTATCAACCATGTTTTTTGAAGGAAGATTAGGTTAAATTACATTTTTATTCTGTAGTCTAAGTAATACTAAAAAGGTCTGTACATCTTAGGTTAATTAGTACCTCATATTTTCTTAGTCTTTGAAAAAAATCAGTATATTTAAAAAGGCTATCTGTTGATCATTATATATTTTCACTAAAATTACAGAGACCTAAGCATATGTATATATTATGAAAAAAAATAGGGTAGTCCCTAATTTAATGTATACATTTCTGGGTGTTCCATGACATACTTTACTATGAAAACAGCTATTAAGGAAAAATTAATTTACTCGGACATTAAATATGTTTGAATTTGTGTTTAAAAGGCAATCAAAACTTTTAGAATTTTAAAGATCAGAACTAGCATCTTACATTATGCTTGATTCAATATATAAATTTGACGTTGAAAAAGGATAGAAAAAATATTGGTGCTTTCAATGTTTAACTTTGGTACTAAAGAAGATACATGGAAATACTATGGATATCCAAGAAAATGAATACCTAGATCATCAAACAAATCAACCCAGAGTTCTCACTAGTCAGATAAATGACAATGGTCAAATTATGTACTTCAGATATATTTCGGTATATGAAGACCTCTAATGTTGGGGAAAGGAAAAGGAAAGAGAGGAAGAGGGCAACCAGTTCAAAGTTGAGGGACTCAATTATAGTGATGGTAGATAAACCATTGGAAGACTAGAAAGACTAGGTTGGAATAAATGCTCCTGGAGAAAATCTATGTGGTCACTAAGAAACAATGCCAACTTTAAGGCAGATAATCATCCAATCAATATACAAATATTTAATATATAAAATTATCATTCATATAGTGAAATAATTATGTTTGCAGTGTGGCATTTTAATTCAGTTAAATTATTTTGATTCAAAATCTTACATTCAAAATGTGGCAAAAACCCAATCTCTGATTATTGAGGTACAAAGGAACCCTTTAAATTATGCAAGTAAACACTGTTTTCAGACCATGTATTAATGTAGAACTGATTTTAAAAATGCATTCCATGGTTATTGGGAAACACGTTTTATATTAATTTTGTACATGGAATACATAACCATTACTTTCTAATGAAAATCTAGTTTATTTAAGTGCTACAGAGGTATGAATCAGCAAAAAGATATATGAATGAACACTTCATGACTTTATAGATGACATTTTGTTTGCTACATGTTATAAAAAAAAAACCCTCTGCCAATAAATTGATACATTATGCTTTAACAATCTTCTGCCTGCTTTATAAATGGCTGTTCAACCAATTTATTATGGTTATCCAAGCTGAAACTGAAACCAGAATTTGTAACAAATATTTATTGCCTTAAATTTAATTTTCTATATGTTCAAAGAACAGCTTTTGTTGATTGAAAGATACAGCCAAAACCCTAATGGTAAAGAGCTGCATGCCATGGTAAGTAAAATGGTGGTAGGTATACGTATATCCTTACTAATGGTCTTTTTGGTATAGCATGCTCTGCAATAGTGTCCAAAGCAAACTGTGGTGACATCACCATGCAAATAATAGTGCCATGCTGCAAGGTATTGACTCAGATGTGCTAAATCATAGTTTGCTCATTACGGTTTACCAAATAAGCCAAAATTAGTGATTTGCAATCCTAAAGTTGAGTAGCATGTGCTAAAGCAAACCAATGACATAACCAATCTTTTCTAAAGATACCCTACAAATAGTACTAAATTTTAATAGTAATCTTAAACTAATACTAATTAGTTTAATACTGATACTTTGACCATGTTAAACACGAGTTATAGGATTTGAAATCTAATACTTATGAGACCATTACATTGTCAGAGACTAGTCTATACAATTACAAGGCCGGTTTACCAGTTAGTAACTAAAATTAACCAACAATCCAGATTATGATTCAATGAGATTTATAAAACAACTCATTAAGATTTGTAAAATATGGCATATGGTGCAAAATGCAGACATCCAACAATAGTTAATTCAACAAATAATCATTTAATTCAATGTGTGGTCTAGGTTTTAGATGAAAGAAAAGTGTCCTAAAAGGTCCAAAATGCAGGAATAGCTACATATTAAAGAGCTAACAGAAAATAGGATATAGAAAAGAAACACAGCTGAGAGAAAAGAGCATTTGTGTACTTTTACTGACAGACTTCACAAAAGTCTGCATTCTACACAGCACTTAAAAATAATCCTTGGTTAGAAGCCATCAGAAAATACCAGAGTTGTAAGATATACAGAAAAGTTGAAAAGCATTCTAGAAGAAGGCAATGGCCAATCACCTTCAGAGCTGTTGCCAAGATCAATACAGAATTATTTTCATGTGGCTACCAGCAGGACATCTTCACTTTTTAAATAACCAGACAAAATCTAGCAGCAGACTAAATAATACTGTAGTAGGCAAACAACCCGTTTTGGTGGGGGAAAAACATTTTGTTTTTAAATGTTTTCCCTCCAGGCCTTTCATTCCTGGGGCTCACATCCTTGCCCTAAATTTTTTTGGAAGGCTACCTGATAGTCTTATCAAGGAACTCAAACCAGGCCAGCTGCTGATTCAGGGTTAATTTCTTTTTCCAGTTGCAGATAACTGAGCTAGGATGTTTTTTATACTTACTTATCAGGCTTATGGATGAGGGTCAGAAGGGCCAGGGCTGTAACATTTTAGTAATGAACCAACCTTCTGGGAGGACTGTCCTTTATCAGCGATGTGAATTGTTGCCTATTGCTGGCTAATGATCATATGCCTTTGCTTTCCAAAAGTTCATAAAAGGTATTCCAATTTGTGTATTGGGGGCTCTTCATTACAGAATAAACAGATTGCAATTGCCTACCTTGTGTGATAATTGGCTACTTCAAAACAGGGAAAAACAAAATCAGGCTTTGGCTGGGCCAGTTCATGGTTTGGCTATCAATGCTGATAGAAGATAGTCTAGGTGCATAATTCCTCTCTTCATTTGGTTTATTTTAAAACTGTAAAACTGGAAACCAAATTTATGTATTTTCAATTATGTCACCAATAAAATGTATACTTTTACCTCAGCTAGGTAACTATCAGAATGTAACATCTTTGTGAAAAATGAGTTAAGCTCTCTCAATAATATAAGGTTAATTATACAACTGATCAAGTGAAGTCAAGGTCTGGAAATACAACATTTGTCCAAGGCCTACAAAGCAAGTGGATGGATTTATTCAACATACAAACGTATAAGACATTTATATGAAAGAAGACAATAAATGTTAGAGATGCTAGCTCTATATTTCATATTTGGGTGCTGATGTTGAAACTTTGGTATGGAGTAGGTTTATGGTCTGCATGATTTTTACTATCTACTCTTGCTATATCTTCAACTCATTATCAATCTGCTGTTAAATCCCACACCCAAAAGCTGATTATATATCAGTCTAGCATTTAAATAAATCTCATGTTAGTGGTTACATAGGTTTGATGGTTTGAAACCTTTAGGATATAACATTTAGGTTAACACTGTGATCTTAATATTAGTTTAACTACCTGGGTATAAGCCTAATAGATGAGAACTAGACTAAGAAAATATGAAAGGGTATTGCAAGCCATGATTAATTCTGTGCATAACTCAATCACATAAAATAAATAGTAAAAGATCCACTGTACTAGAAGAAACTGGAGAAAATATACATCTTTTCTCTTCAGGTTTCTTTACAGAGATTCTAATGTACAGCTCTTCTCTAATTCATATTTCTATTCAATTCTTAAGTAATGAAGTGAAAAATACCATCTCAGCTTTGCAAGTCAATTACAATACAGTATTCAGCCTCGTAGTTTTGTACATTTCAAGATTTATCTACATATTTAATAATACATGTAGAAATTTTTGTGTCCCACTTTATAGACACCTGTTATGTACACTGTTTAGTATATGTTCACTAAGATTAAATTAAACAAACCAAATTATGATTTGTCATTATTTGTAAAACCAGCCTATACTGGAGATAATGTATCACTAAGATCCACATAAAACTCTGAAATGATTAAGTGGAAAGATTCAGAAAATCTGAAATACAGCAAATATTTTTTCACAAATCTGTATACGAAATCACTCTCAGTCCTGATATTACTTTTGTGGGCATTCATGTCAAGTAATATCAAAAGTAGCATTAGTAAATCTGCACCCACCTAAAAATATATACTTATGAAAGGGAAATATGCTGTTGTGAGTCTTATCTAGTATATTACTTATAAATGTCCACAGCTGTAGACATTTACAACAGTAGTATTAACCTTTGAATAACATCTGGATGTATCTGCATACAAAATCAGGAATATCAAAAGCAGGACAAGTTTGCATACTCCTGTTTTTCCTAAAAGACAGAAATGGCAACTACAGGATGTCTAATGCTTGTTTCCAGAATGTTTTTCTTGATTGTTTCTTCATTGTTTTACAAACTAAAACTTACTGGGCCAAATCTCAAGCTAAGCAGCATAAATATTTTCTAATTTTGGAATTGATTTACAGCTTCAGGACTCTTGAGGTTTGATGTGTCTGTAGTCAATCCCAATTTATGAAGTAATCTGCTTCAACCATGCTTTGCAAATGCTTCCACAAAAATTTCATGAAATGTTCCTGCAGCTGTTCTTAAAACGTTCCCTCTTCCTTGCAAGAGCAATGATTTCCCCCAGAAGCTGATTTAAGAATACACTTTTAGCAAGAAAGTTTTATAATTGCCTTACATTACAGAAGTCCATTACCGGTCTCTTGGCATTATAATTTTTGGCACTTTAAAACAAATTGGCTCTACACACAAAACAAGGCATGCAAGTAAATAAGAAATTGTTGATGGCACATTGCCTTTATGTGGGAAAACTAAGCCCATTTACCATTCAGAAATGAATGGTAAGATAATTGGAGTTTCTCAGGTTTTATGCCAATGCAGCAGTTATGAAGCACTCCATTTTCTGTACTTTTTACAACCTACCCAATTTCAAGGCAGGAAAGTTGCTGGCTGAGACATAGTGGCATTATAACACATTTGCAAGCTTTTTCTTTCTCTGCAGACCAAAATTATCACTTGAATGATTTACAGTGCATTTCTTGTTTCAAGCATGTAAATAGGGTCCTTTCAACTGGTTGCAATAATCCCCCTTCAGTAATTACCCAAAAGCTCTTTATTATGTTCTGTATAATTGCCACTTTATAAACCAGTTTCTCCTTTTAAAAATCTTTTGGCTGGAAAGTTTTAAACATACCAATCATTAACAGCCAATTATTCTTGGTATTAGGGAAACCTAAAGTGTAAAAAGATACTTGAGGTAGAGAACACATTGAGAGATTTAAAAACAGAATTACTGTGCACTCTCCTATGCAGGAAAAGAAAGTACATAATGCTTCTTTTATGATGGCCATTTGCATCTTTCAAGCTTTAAAAAAGTAGCCTTTCATTCTATATTAGGCTGAGGATCCTCAAAATGTTTTGTTTGACTATCCATATGGATTTTGTTTAAGACTCAGCTTTAATAACCCGCTTTGCAATCTTATGCAAGTTCAAGAGACTAAAGTCCTCATTCAAATACAGGAGTTGGTATGTTTGTCATCTATTTGTCAAAAGTAGGGAAGGAAACAGCTACTAGCATGCATTTCATACATCTTAAGTCTCTACAATGCCACTCATTTTAAAAAACCAAGAATCATATATATATATATTCCCCCCCCCTTCCCCTCCCTCCTCCTCTCTCCTTCTCCAAGCTGATAAATAAAAGCACATCTAAGGCAGCCTTCTCTGGGCAGATATTGCACCAATGCACCATAATAGCTTGGGTGATAGGTCTTGCCTCAATGGCACCAAGATGGGGAACACTGAGGCAGAGTAAATGCCAGAGTGGGAGGGATAACCCTCCTCTTCACTTTATGACTCATAGAATCAACTGGAAAAACATGCCCCATTTCTGTCGGGAGGCCTAGATGCGGAGGTGCCCCCTGTGAGCAAAAGATGGGGTCACCCCAGTGCTCTATTAAGGCGGAATAGACGTAGTTAAGTGGATTGTGGCAGGAGCGACTTGACGGCTACCTGGATGAGAAGCGCCGGAGCGTCCCCTAGCGGAATCACGCCGAACGCCCTTTTCGCTGCTCGCCGGGTAGGAGAGGAGCCGCATGGCCTCCCCGCAGGTAGCCTCCACTTGGCGCACCTGATCCCGGCTGAGACGCTCCCGCCAGGCATGGATGGCTTCCCGGGCATCGCGGGCGGAGATGAGGAAGGGGCGCTCCGAGGAGTAGGCGGCCCCGCGGGTCATGTTGAAGACGAAGGCCTCGAGGGCGGGCAGCGCGGGAAGGTCCGCGAAACGCAGCAAGCGGCTCAATTGGGCGCGCGGCTCCAGCACCAGGTCCTCGTAACGCACTTGCGTGTACCGGCGGCGCAGCCAGGCGGGGGCCCGGCGGGAGAAGATCAAGTCACGCAGCCAGGCCTGGCAGATCACCTCCAGGGCGCCGCCCAGCAAGAATTCGGCTCGGTGCTGCGGGTGCGTCCGGACGGCTCCACCGCCGACCCCGGCCATGGCCGCGGCGGCCGCGGGCGGAAGCTGCCGGCGGGGCAATCCTCGGAACTCGGCGTGATACCTGCTGCGCAGCACCTGAATGCTCTCCCGAAGCAGCGCCTGCTTGGCCTTGAGGCGAGAGTTATGGACGGCGCGGGGGTCGCGGAAAAGCTGGATGACGTGCAGGTTGAGCTCCGGGTCCCTCAGCAACGGCAAGAGCGCCCCCAACTCCAGCAGCCTCACGTCCTTGATCACCATCACCGGGTACTTTCGGCACTCGGCTTCCAGCTCCCGCAGCGGACGCGGATGGCAGCTCCGCTCGCAGGCGGTGCTGTCGACGAGGCCCACGTCGGCGCGGGCCCGGGCCGCGTGGGGACAAAAAGGCGCCGAGCAGATCACCTTGTTGGTCCGCCAGCCGAAAATGCTCGCCGTGCTCAGGTTGCCGCTCCCGCCGCCCGACTTGGCCCCGAAGGAGGCGGGCAAGGGGATGAGTGGGTCGCGGCCGGCCGGCGGCGTCGCGTAGAAGCGCAGGACCGAGAAGTCGCAGCGGAAGAGAGAGCGCATCATGTCCCGGAGGGCGCCCTGCAGGCTCAGCGCGTCGCCGGGATAGAGCGCTTGCCACAAGTGCCACATGGGTTCGTACAGGTAGAAGACATCTGGATGCTGATTGAACAGTTCTCCCAGGAAAGACGAACCGGTGCGCCAAGTGGCGTGCAAGTAGATGTGCCGTTTCCCGCCCGCTCGGCTCCCCGGGCTGGGCTCTCTCCCGGTCCCGTTGCCGTCCTCAGCCTCTCCCGCCGGGGGCGGGGGCGGCGGTGGCGGCTCTTCCCAGCCCCAGTCGCCGAGCGCCTCCTGCAGGCTGGGGCAGCGGAAGGGCAGCTGCCACTCCTCGCCCGCGCCCCCACTTCTGGCTCGATAATCCAGCGTGTAAGACAGGAGCAGCAGGAGCAGCAGCGTGTAGGCGGCTAAGGCCAGGGCAAATCGCCGGTGGGGCTGCCATCGCCACCTCCATCGCCGCCGGCTCTTCATGGCTCCCCTCGGAACCACGCCTGAGGGAGCTGCCCTCCTCCCCGCCGCGGTCGCCCGGTTCAAAAACAAGCTCAAACTTGAGGAAGGCGGAGGGGAAACCAGGGAGGTGGTGACCACTTCTGCAGCGGCCGCCTTCCCGGCGAAAAAACACGCCCCCAGATGCCGGCAAGAGGGTGGAAGCGATCGCCAGCCCGCCGTTCCTTCAATTCAGGCTGCGGCTCCGCGGTGCTTCGGGGCGATGCCCACGCACCCCCGTCCTTCTGAGCGTCCCGGCGTTTTAAGTCGGCGGAAGGTTAAGGCTGGTCTCTTGTTCCTTTTACTTGGCGGGGGAAGGGAGGGGAAGGGAGAAGACTGTCGGAGTGGCGTTTTTCCAGGCAGCCTGTTATTTGCATAGGATGAAGTTGAGTGACAGTTCCCTCAGCATTCAATATCCTCACAAATCTAAATGCAAATTAAGTAATTTAAGTTAAAAAATAGGTTTTGTTTATTTATGGTTAAAGCGCTCAGTGCTCCCCACTATCTCATTCTCCCTGCCCTGGAGATGAGGATAAATACTGAAGAGGATAATCCTTAAGCCTAAAAAGGGTGTAGGCTAATTGTACTCTGCCTTCTCACCCTGTAATCCTCAAGGTGAGCGTTGGACACTCATAAAACAAGATCCTTAAATAAGTCAAGAATCTACATTTACACATAACATTTAGTCAACATCCACGATTTGCAAGTGACAGCTGAGTTTGTTCAATTAAGTAATGGTATTCTTTGAAGTCTGAACCCAACAGCAATACAAACTTTTAGTGAAGGGAATAGACATTATTTGATTGCACTGAAAGACTCAATTCCCAATGCAACTCAAAGGAGTTCAAGGTGGAAAAAAGCAGGAATGTTTGAGTTCCTTGGAAAAGAGAGATCTAGAGAACAGAAAAAAATCAAGCTGTAGATTTCTGTAAACAGGTCACTTTAACTGAAGATATATATTAATGGATAAAAGAAAGTTTGATTTCTTGGTTTCTGCTGCAGAGAACATCCAGTTCCTTGATTTGTCTAAATGTAATATATAAATTATAAATGTAATATATAAATTATAAATGTATTCCATGAGAAAAGCAGAATGGAATCTTTTCTTGATTACATAATGGTAAATAGGGCCATACGAGAAGGTTTTTTTAAAAAAAAAATCCATTTAGATTTTTAAAAGTAACATTTCTTGGTATTCTGAACTGTACTTGGAAAATGCATCATTAATAACAGCCAATTATATATATATATATATATATATATA